AGTCCAGGGTGAAGGCAGAGTTGGCAGCAAAGTCCAGTGACAAAGCCCAGGAACCGGTCTTTGTTGGCAGTAGGAGGCAGCCTCGGCTGCTTTCTGAAGGACTGGCTTTTTGGGGAGGTTGAAAAAAGCCCCGTTCCTCAAGCACAGGCTGCCTGGAGTTAGGACGGGAGCCAGGTCAATGGCACCAGGGTTCAGGGACCCCAAAGCTTAGAATACTACCCTATAGTCCCAGAGGTGGGTCTGGCCCCTATATCAGTTTGGGTTGGGGGGACTGTCAGGACCTTCTGGACCTGGTTTCTCCTGCTTTCCTTAGGGGCAGGAGGGGTGGGGCAATAGGAACTGAGCTTTCTTGGGGAAAGCGGGAGAAGAGATTGTTTTCTCCTAAATGAAGTCGGTGAATATTAATTGAACCTTCTTTAACTAGTGGCAGGATGATGAGGGCATGTGATTTTTTATTAGGGGTGGTCTCTGCTTTCAGAAAGTAACAATGTGAAAGTGGTTAAGGGGCAACATCCATGAGAGATGCTTTAGATCTGTGCTGTCCAATACGGTGGCCACTAGTTATATGTTGTCAAATTTAAATTAGTTAAAATAAAATTAAAAATTTAGTTCCTCAGACACAAAAGCCACATTTCAAGAGCTTGTTAGTCACATGTGTCTAGTGGCTATTGTATTGAATGTCACCAACATCATAGAATGTTCTGTTGGCACTTTTGTATTTTGAAAAGACATTTCAGATCAGCTCTCTCCCAGGTCTTTGCAAAAGGCTGGAAGCCTTAGTGGCAGGACAGACACGCAGATTATTGTTGTGAATCCTGATGACTCTACTTCTATGATCTGTGTCACTCATTGGGCCTGCTCTGTAAAATGAGACTCATCATTTCTGGATGAGTGAGGGAGTGTGAAAGTTAAGGGAGATGATGCAGGTCTAGCACTTTGCAGGATGCTGGAACAGCAGTTTATAAATGGTAGCAGGTCTTACTGTACTACAGGTGAAAAATGAAGCTCAAAGAGGGGAAGTGACATGGTCAAGGGCGCTGAGCTAATAAATGGAGGCCTGGATTAATGGAGGCCTGGGATGCCAACTCCCATCTCTAATCTTGCCTCTTCTGCTCCTTCCAGCCCTGATCTGGACAGAAGAGAAGCTGGCACAGAGTGGGCTGAGTAGGAGGCTTTCTGCAGGGTGGGCTGGTCCCAGGGCCAGGCAGGATTGGCCTGACGGATGCATAGTCTTGGGTTTTTGTCTGGGTGCAGGAGTCCCGCTAGCCCCATCTTATTTAAAGTCTCTCAGGCCTTGGAGTTTAGCTATTTCCCACATCTCTTCAAGCTAGAAACTCAGAAAAGTGCTTTCTTTGGGACCAACACAGAGCCCTGGAGCCTTGAGTGCCCCGTGAGATAGTTTTAGAATGAAGCAGTTCCTGGGGCCTTCCAGGAAACACTGGCTCCTCCAGGAAGCCCATCCTGATTTTCTGACAATTCCTTCCTTCCCCTCACTTTTGTTTGAATTCCCAGAGTCCTCTGTACCTCTCCATAGTAGGAATTGTAGCTTCCTTCCCATAGACCAAGGAGTTCTTTGTGTCTTTGTGCCAAAAACATGTCACTCAGAGGTAAAAGTGTGACCTTTTTCTCCATCCCCAGTTGAAATACCCCCTGGATTCCATCCATTAGGACCATAGAGGTCATTACTAACCTCTCTCAATCTCCTCTCCCCAGTCTTATCCCATAACTAGTCTCCTTACCCTTTGTGACCTCAGGGCCTAGAACACAATAGGTACATGGTTTGTGCCTTTGGAGTGAAAATTCACCTTTCAGGTCCCCCCTAAGTGCAGACTTGCCCCAGCTGGGGGTGAGTCAGCCTGTGGAGGGGACCAGTGACCAGATGCTTCCTGAAGGAGGAGACACAGGTGCTGGAATGCCTCACAGGGCCTCCTGCTTCCCAGCAACTGCATGGAGCTGGGCCTCTCCCTACAGAGGATGAAGGTGGGTCCCAGGCTGCAGGGGTCATAGGGGACTTTCAGACCCCTTTCACACTGGGCGACAGGGCTCCTGTGCAGCCTATTGAAGACACCACGCAGCTAGCAAAGCCTGGGGCTTTGGGCCTGGCCTGGAGGCTGCCAGCAGTATGTTCTTTCCCTCTTTGGCCCCAGATGGCATGGTTGTGTGCCCCCTGCCCCAGGCCTGCTTAGCTGAAGCTGTCCTGCTTGACAAATAGGCCATTTGCTTTCTGCACTGGAGCTGGCATGGCTGGCCACCTGGTAAAGGCTATAATTAGCTGAGAAGAGTGGATGTGATCGCACACTGGCATTGACAGTTAATTTTATAGTCAAATGGAAACATAAACTGATGTCATCAGAGATGTAAATATCATTTGGAAATCTTGAAGTTTCTGGGAAATGAGGAGCCCAGATCAGCCTGTGCTATGTGGGGAGCCGCCTTGGAGTTTGCCTGCCAGGCCTCTGGGAGGGCTGGGGTGGCAGCACCTCTGGGTGGACCAGGAGAAATGGGCCTGTGACTGCTGGGTACACAGCGGTGGCAGAGCCAGGAGGCTTGGGTTTGCATTTGCCATTTGCCGCAATAGCATTTCCCATGCTTTAGTGATCTGGAAAGGTTGCAAGGCTGAGTAAGGAAAATGCGATGCTTTGCAACAGGAGGGAGATCGGAGGAAGTTTTGTTTCCTGCCAGCCTGGCTATTCTGGAGTGGGCCCTGGGGCTCTGGGGAGTTTGTAAAAATAGAAGCCACTGATGGTTTTATGGAGAGGGCTGGGGTCAGTTCTGCTCACAACTGGGGCCAGTGACAGATCTGGTGTTTTGGAGATGGTTTCCAAAGCAAGATACCTTACCTCAGAAGCACAGCCTTAGCGGGGAATGAGGGAGGGGGACAGGCTAGGCCATGGCCATCTTGCCCCAAAAGAACTTTATTTTTTTTTTTATAACAGGAAACATAGGACTCTCAAAAGTATATGGATCAATTCTGAAAATATTAAGATGTTCTCCTGCTGGTTCAGTGACAGCATGAGGATTACACTTTTCAAGAGGATGGAAAATGAAACCCCACTTTGGTAGCCCTCAGGTTCACCTTGTCCTTGTATTTCCTTCACTCCCTGCCTGGGCTCTGAGGACTTCACTTCTCTGTGGGGTCCTTCTTTAACCATAATCCTCAGTTTTGGGGTGGAGGGCTGGCTGGCTCTGTGTCTGGTTCAGGGTTAGGGTTGAGTGAGTGAGTGTTTATAAGTGCAGTAATTTGGGCGGGGGATGGGGTCAGGAGGAGGAGTTGGCTTTTTAAAGCTTCCTGCCCTCAGAGAACCCTCAGGGCTTAGATGACCTTGAACAATGATTTCACCATGTTCTGGGTTTTGGACCATGAAGTGGTCAGATAGTCTTTGGTTAATCTTTATCAAAGGTCGATTTTATTTCCTGTGATCACTATTTTCCTGTGTAGGGCCATGTGTGTGTGTGTGTGTGTGTGTGTGTCCTGCCTTATAAATTTTAACATTACCCAAGTGGGTAAATTTGATGACATCATTTTACTCATAGTTTTCCTGATATGGCCAACTTGTTACCAAGTGGCTTACTGCTGAGTTTGCCAATGCCTTCAGCACCTCCTAGCCTGTGTGTATTGGAAAGACATTCCTGCTAGGCTGGGGGGAGTGGGTCTCTGTAATCCCGATTATCTTTTCAAACCAAAGGAATGGCACTTAGCTGTGGAATAAAGGAGACTGCGGACCCAAGGGTGAGGGCGATGGCTTCCTGGTAGTCCTGTTATCCGGTGTTTCTCAGTAAGCTTAGTTTGACTTCTGGCATCCTTGCCATTTGTCAAAGCTTAGGGGAAGCAGGCACTTCCCTTCACCAGGGACAGTCTTAGCACTCTTTAGAAGGAAGTCAAGGGGATCTACTTGGAGGGCATGCTGTCACCAATTTAAGGCCAAGGTAGACCAGTAGCTGGAGAGATATTCTCCTCAGTGTTCCGGATGTTGACTTAAGGCTATCTATTATGCTCATGGCATCTCTTCCCAAAATATATATTTTTTAAATATGTTTTTATTGATTTCAGAGAGAAGAAGGGAGAGGGAGAGAGAGATTGAAACATCAACCATGAGAGAAAGTCACTGATGGACTGCCTCCTGCACACCCCCTACTGGGGATAGAGCCCATGATCTGGGCATGTGCCCTGACTGGGAAAGTCGGAATCCTTGGACAGGCAGGAGATCGGGTAGACAGCATTGACCTTAAACCCAAGGAGGATCTATTGGGAAGCCCAGCTGGCATCCAGCAGACATTGATTGTAAAAGCTGATTATACTTCCTAAATGTCAGGACGGTACTGGCTGCTAGGGGTGCCCGAAACAGTTGAAAAAAATCCCTCCTGGCATGGAGCTTATATTCTCGTGGGGAAGATAAACAATTAAAAACTCAAAGGGAAAAAGACATATGTCAAATGATGGCAAACGCAAAGGAGAAAAATGAAACAAGGAAACGGGATCAGGAGTTTCACGAGGCAGGATCCTTTTTTAAATAAGATGGCCCCAAAAGGTCTTGCTGTGCGCAGGTGACAATGGAGCAAGGGCAGGAAGGAGGTGAGGGAATGAGCCATGTGGGTTTGGGGAGGAAGAGCATTCCAGGCAAGCAGAGCATTCCAGGAAGAGCATTCCCTTTCTCCTTGTGTCTTCACACGGTCTCCCCTTTGTGTAGATCTGTGTCCTCATCTCTTCTTATAAGGACAACAGTCACTGGATTAGGGCCCACTCACATGACCCTGTCTTGACCTGATTACCTCTTTAAAGGCTCTATCTCCTATACAGTCGCATACTGAGGTCCTGGAGGTTATTTCTGCATAGGAGTTTTAGGAGAATACGATTCAGCCCCTAACAGGTTCCCTCCATGTACGGTCATCTGGGCGAGCCCCCCCAATGGCAGACACCGCAGCCCTCAAATGAACTCTCCGGAGGAAAATCAAGTGACTTCCAGTCCTTCTCACCTCTCACCCCCACTTTCTTGCTGCAGCTGATTGGGACCCTGGTCCTGTCGGTGGGGATCTACGCGGAGGTTGAGCGGCAGAAATACAAAACCCTTGAAAGTGCCTTCCTGGCCCCGGCCATCATCCTCATTCTCCTGGGGGTCACCATGTTTGTCGTTTCCTTCATCGGCGTGCTGGCCTCCCTTCGCGACAACCTGAGCCTTCTTCAAGTGGTGAGTCGGCCCAGGCACCCCTCAGCTGGTGGGTGGCAGGTTGTGGGAGTCCCCCCCAAAAAGTGGGGAGACTGTCCCATGGCCTTCAGGCACCCCAGTTTTTTCAGTCCTTGCCTCAAACAAGCTCCTCTGGAGGGTTTCCGGGACCAGCCTATCTGTCCACGGTGGCCCAAGAGTGCCCAGGCCACCTCCACTTTTGCATATAAAGGTGGTTTGAATACCATGCTGCTCTCGTAAACCCTGTGTTGGTCCAGACTCTCAGCTGCAAGTGGGAGAAACCGCACTCAGATGAGAGCAAGCAAAACCCAAAACAGTTGGCAGTGAGTTCTTAGCTCATATAACCAGAAAACCCTCGCTGGGTCCAGGGGTCTCGACAGCACCCTTGGGTTCTCTCTCCTGCCACCTCCCAGTTGGATGCCTCGCACTGTCCTCATTTTCTCTTCGAGGTGGTCGCCAGCAGTCCTGGGCCAACAGAGTCCTTGTGGCTCTTGTTCCCAGGGAATCTTTCTTGGTAACTCTGGCCAAAGTCCCAGGACTCTGAAGGGCCTGCCCTGGGGTCAGGCGGTGGGGTCAGCCCAACCTGCCCCCCTTGCTATGGGGTGAGGGATGGCTCCTCAAAGCTGGGGTACCAGGTAGGCAGATGCATCTGTCTGCACCCACTTGTGTTTGACCTCATTGTCTTTCTCACACGGGAAGCCCCTAAAAGCCCTATGAGCAGGGCCTCAGTGCTGCCTAAGGCTGCAATTCGCTGGCGTCAGTTTGGCCAATCCCTGTTTTTGATAAAGTGCAGGGGTGGGGTGCATATCCTTAAGCCTCAGACATACCCTCACCCACTCTGGGGGTCTGGAAGCCACTTCTGAGGGGCTCTACCCGAACAGCTGCAAATGCTGTCCTGCCCTGCCCATTAAGGCAGTCCTGTCCCCTCTGGAGCAGCCTGATCGAGGACCACAAGCAGCTCTCCTTGTGGGGGTTGGGGGAGGGAGCATGTTTTCCACCTAGATCCCGCCGAGGAGCCCTGGGACAAACCTTGGTAACAGTCTGGCTTGGTCAGCTGAGTCACTCTTCCTGACCACTGGCTCCAAAGATGGGCTTTCCCTCAGAATGTCCACAGCCTGTGTCCTCACAGGAGGAAGGCGCGAGAGGCCCAGGAGCAGTAAGTGCTCTGACAGATGACTCTCCTGATTGTGCTTGACCATGGAGCAGATGGCGCTTCCTCTGCCCCTCTAGGTGAATCTCTGAATTTTGTTTTTCAGTTTATGTACATCCTTGGGATTTGCCTCATAATTGAACTCATTGGTGGCGTGGTGGCCTTGATCTTCCGGAACCAGGTGGGCCTGTGGCATATTTATCAGCCATGTGTATGCTGAGCACCCACTGTGTGTGTGCCCTGGGCTGTAAAACTGGGCATGAGCAGAGAGCAGGGTATATCATTCCTTGTGGAGCATTTATTTTGCTGGGGAGACAGGCAATGGAAAAGGGAACCAGAGAACAAGAAGAGAAGACATGGTGATGGGAGAGTGCCTGGGGTGCAGATGGGGAGGATACTAATGAAATAATGAAAAGGAGCCTTCCAGGTGAGGCTCAGGGCGAGCAGAGGTCCAGGTAGAGGGAGCCACTGAGGCAGAAAGGAGCTTGGCAGATGTGTGGACCAGCGTGGATGCCACTTGGCTGAAGGGCGTGAGTGATGGGGAGGGATGGAAGGTGGAATTGGAGTGCGGGCCTGTGCAGATCCCGTGGGTTCTCAGGGGCTATGGTTTAGGATCTGGGCATTTTCTCTAAAGGCAGCCGGAAGGCTTTGCGGAGCTTTATGGGGGAAGTGATGTGATCTGGTTTACATTTTACTCGCTGCAGGGATGGGAGGGTGAGGGGAGACCAGGGCTTTGGAGTACACTTTGGACGCAGTGTCAGTAGGACATTGTCGTGCTGGGATATAGGGATGAGGGCAAGAGAAAGGCTGAGAGGGTCGCGTGGCATCCAACCCTCCAGAAGGGTTTGTAGAAGCAGGGCCCTTTGAGCTGGAAGGGTTCTCAGGACTCCTGGTCTCCCACTGTTTCCATTGCAGGCCATGTAGCCTCATACTAGCTGGGTTACCTTGGGCAAGACCCTAGGTTCCTTAGGGGATCACGACTCCTAGGTCATGGAGTTTGGGGTAAGGATTTGATGAGAGAATGCATGTGAAGAACTTGGCATGGTTCTGGCCCCTAGTGGACCTTCATTACATATTAGCTCACCTGTCCTGAAGTCTGAAGTGAAGGGACTTGCCCAAGGTCCCACAGGAAGCTAGTGGCCGAGTGGGGCTGACTGCCAATTTGGAGATCCGTCATTTCTCCTATAACCTGATTCCTTTGTCTTCCTCTGGGCTTGGTGTTGGAGGCAGGGCTTGAGGAGCAGGGCCTGTTTTCAGAAGCTCAGTTCTCTGTCCACTCCCCTGCCTCCGTCCTCACCACCCAGACTGTTCTGTTCCTGGCACTCCTGGGGTGCATCAGGGCTGCAGCCAAATTGTCTATCTTGTCAGAAGTTGAGCCCAAGGTAGCAGTCACTATCCCAGACACCAGGTTACCAGACACCAGGCTGTACAGATCCCTCAAATGACCCAGTGTCCGACTCCTGCCAAACTCTTCATGGATGCAGCTGGTATTCTGGCCCAGGTGGGAGCAGGGAGCAACCTGTTCTGCCTGAGTCTCCTATGGGTGGGCCTGTCTACAGCCCTGGAACCCAGGGGTGGTCTTCTTCCTGTTTTATGAGCCCCAGGAAAGGGGAGGGGAGATTCCCATTATATCAATGAAGTCAGTGAGGCACAGAGAGGTTAGGAAGTCCTCCCAAGAGCACACAGCAAGACAGAGGCAGCTCAGTCTTTTTTTTTCAATTCTTTTTTAAAAATTATTCCCCCTACTCACCAGCTTTATTGAGGGATAATTCACAAATAAAATTGTAATATATTTGAACTCTACAGTGTGATGATTTTGATATATGTAAACAATGTGAAATAATCACCACAATCAATTAATACATTCATCACCTTACATAGTTAACTTTTTTTGTGTATGAGAATGCTCAAGATCTATTCTTTTAGCAACTTTAAGTATATAATACAGTATTATTAGCTCTAGTGACCATGCTGTATATTAGACCCTCAGAACTTACTTGTCTTAAAACTGAAAGTTTATACCCTTTGACCAACATCTCCCCATTTCAACCAACCCTTAGCCCCTGGCAGCTGTTTTCTACTCTCTGGTCCTATGAATTCAACTTTTTTTCTTCTTCCTTGTTTTTAGATTCCACATATAAGTTATACCATACAGTGTGTGTCTTTCTCTGCCTGGCTTATTTCACTCAGCAGAATGTCCTGCAGGTTCAGCCACGT